TCATTATGTCCACCCTTAAAATCATGATGGTATCCAATAGTGTTGTCCATGCACTCCTAGCAGCTAGTTTTTTTGTTTGTTTGTTTGTTTGTTTCACTTTGAATATCTTTAGAAAACTGTAGAAACTTTTGCTTTTACTATAAATGGAATGGGGAAGTATTTGGGAGAGGGGAGTTGAGTGGAGTAGTGACTTGATCTAACTTGACAGGATTACCCTGGTTGCTGCGTTGAGGGTAGATGGAAGGGACACAAGGGTGGAGGCAGTAAGCCAGTTAAGAGAGACTCCCATCTAGGTGTTAGGATGGTAATGGCTTGAAATTGAACTAACGTGTTTGAGTGGAGGCAGTGAGAAGTGTCTGGATTCTGCTAAATTCTGAAGGGTGAAGCAACAAGATTTGTTGGTAGGTATGATTGGGTATGCAAGATTGGGGTCAGGCATGACTCAGCTGAACAACTGCAAGGGTAGAGTTGTAGGACTGATTGATCCCATGGGTGAGCGTCAGCAAGGTGTGGAGAGCCGGATTTGGAGGCATGGTTAGGTGCTCTCGACATTTCATGCTGCTCTCCCCCTGTTAGCCCCTGAATGCTCCTGAACCGGGACTCTCTCCCCACTCACCCCATGTCCCTGATCTCCACTGCAGATCCTCTTTAAGAGCTCTACTGATCTTCCCATCCTGTTCTGTGCTCTTGGAGAGTGATCATGAGCTGATGGTTTGGCCAGTGTCTTATCTGGAAGGTTACCGAGAGTCCTCCATCAGTAAGGGTCCAGGTGGGAAGGTTAGTGCAGAGTCTCACAGCCTGTTTTCATTTCTCCTGCTCATGGACTGTTGGGAATGGTGGGTGATTCTTGACAGCTATTTTGTTTCTTGGTTTTTTGTTTTTGTTTTTATGTATTCATGGCTTATGCTGTTACAAAGGGAATAGTAGTTAGCAGTCTTTATAGTTAAAATATACAATATATGACCCTGTGAATGTATCATAAAGATGTGGTGCTGAGAGGGGTCGCTGAGACAGGTCATCAAGAATCCTGATTCCAGTGGAAGGTCCTCCCTTTCTGATTCTGAACTGCTAGCTCAGTTTAGTATGCAAGGTCAGCGCTTTGCAAAATTTACTTCGCGTGTGAATCACATGGGGATCTTTTTTAAACAGCTGTCTGATTCAGTAGGTCTTGGAGAGGGTGGGAGGACTGAGAGCCTGTATGTCTTACATTAATTCCAGGTGAAGATGCTGTGCTGCTGCTGCTGGTCGAAGGACCGCACTTTTAAGTGGCATAGTCCTTGTTGAGTTTCTGGAGTCTATTTAGCTGTTGACCCTCCTAACAAACATCCAGGTACCTCTACACTGAATAACCTGGGCTTGGAAGAATGGATAGCATTTGGACCAGTAGAGAGCAGTGTGAAGGCTGTGCTGGAGAGGCTGGAAGAAGGCAGAGCAGGAGGAACAGAGGTGGAAACGAGCACCTGCCTTCAAATGCATGGCACATCCTCCCACCTCCAGGATTAGGAGCCTACAAAATTGAATTTTATCAGGCTACAGCCTAATTAGCAGGGTGACCTTGGACTATTAAATTGACTCAAAATTTTTTAGTGGTTGTGCCTCACATGCAAGATGATTTTTGAATAGTACATGGGGATTTTAGTTGGTCCATGGATCACCAATATTTTCATATAATCTTAATAGTTACCTTACCGTCTGTTTACAGTAGGAGTTTAGGTATCTGCTTTCCTCACCCGTCTGTGAGCTTTCTTCATGCAGCGGCCGGGTCTCATTCGTGTTTCTCTCGCTAGGCCCTGCTCATTATCGCTCAGGAAATGGACAGAGGCCTGGCTTAACTTAGCCAGAGATTCTGTAAAAGATGTAACTAAACTATCCTGGGTTCTCAATATTAGCACCATTTACACTAGAATGCAATACTTTTAACAAAAATGTAAAGACCTGAAAAAAATATTTTCAAAACTTTCTAATCACTTCTTGGTGAATAGAGTTTAGTTTTACAGAGAATATTAGTAATGTTTTGAGAATATAAATCAGGACTAATAGATTCAGGAGAGAAAATGCTATAGTGTTTAAAGTCTGTGGTGAAAGTTCTAGCTTTTTAAAGGCTTGCTTTATTCTTTGATTCCTTTCTTAATTTTTTATTTTGGGGGAAAAGCTAAATATTTGCAAACTGTAAGGAACTACCTTTTATCTATTTTCTCTCCTTCCCTCAAATAAAAATGAGAGAATATTAACAAAGAAATATTTTTGAGGCCATGTGTTATATTGGCTTGTGAATTGCCTTTCTAGTGGGAGTGGTCATCAGGTTGTTTTATAATAGAACTTGAACTTCGATTTACAAGGAAGAGTTGGGAACTCTTAGTTCCCTTAGACTGCTCTTTTAAAAAACCCAAAAAGCCTTCTTTGGTTTTTTTGATGATTAAAATAATATGTATTAATTGGAGAAAGTTTTAGGAAAATAGGGAAATTTTTAAAGAAGAAAATACAAATCACATCTGATTTCCACCATGAAGAGATAAGATGTTGGCGTATTTCCTCCCACTCTCTCTCTATGTATGTGTGTATGTGTGTGTGTATTTGTATCATAATGTCTTTGGTTTTGGAATCAGGGTAATGCTGCCCTAATAGAATGAATTGGGAAGTACTCCTTCTCTTCAATTGTCTGGAAGAGTGTGCAGAATTGCATTCTTTCTTTCTTATTTGCTATCATTTACCAGTTAAGCCTTCTGGGCCTGGTGTTCTCTTTTGGGACGGTTATCTATTTCATCATTGAGTGAACTTTGGCTGTATGTGTCAAGGAATTTATTCAGTTCATCTAAGTTGGTGAATTTATTGGCACAGACTTATTTATAGCATTCCCTCATTATTCTTTTAATGTCTATAGAATTGTAATCATATCCTGTCTTTCCTGATGTGTGTCTTTCTTTTTTGGCTAAAAACCAAAGGTTATCAATTTTGTTGATCTCCAAGAAACAGCTTTTGATTTAATTGATTTTTTTTCTATTGCTTTTTTGTTTTCTTTTGATTGATTTCAATTCTGATATATTTTTTCCTTTTTTTTTCCTTTGGGCTTAATTTTCTTAAGGTGGGAGCAGAATTCATTGATTTGAGATCTTTTTTTTTTCTGATATAGGTGTTTTGTGCTATACATTTCCCCCACATACTGCTTTAGCATCTTTCTATACATTTTATATTGCCATATTCTTTCACTACAAATTACACTCTATTCTTTTGATTTCTCCTTTGATCAATAGGTTGTTTAGAATTGTATTACTTAGTTTAAAATGTTGGGGAATTTTTTTCAGAGACATTTCTGTTGTTAATTATTTCTAATTTAATCCCTTTGTAGTCAGATAACATGCTTTTTATGAACTGAATTCTTTAAGTTTGTGGAACTTGTTTTCTAACCCAGAAATTGGTCTATTTCAATAAATGTTCACAGTGAACTTCATTCTGTCAGTTAAGTCAATTTGGTTGATAGTGTTACACAGGTCTTCTTTATCCTAACTGATTTTCTGTCTGCTTGTTCTATTAGTTATTGAAGAAGGGTATTAAATCTCTTACTCCAGTTGTGAATTTGTCTATTTCTTCTTGCAGATCTATCTGTTTTGGCTATGTGTCTGGAATCTTTTTTTAAAAATTAGGTGTAAAAATGTTTAGGATTGTTATGTCCTCCTGATGACCTAAACCCTTTGTGAAGTGACTTGTAAAGTGATTGTAAAGTGACTTTCTCTGTACAGGTATTATTCTTGGTTCTAGATGTTTCTTAGTCTGATATTAACATAACTACTTCAGCTTTCTTTTGATTAGTGTTAGCATGGCACATCTTGTTTTGTTCTTCTATTTTTAATCTATTCATATCTTTATGTTTAAAGTGCACTTCTGGTAGGTATTACATAGTTGGAGTGTTGCTTTTTAATCTAATCTGATGATCACTGTGTTTTAATTGAGGATGTTCACACCATTTATATTTAATGCTCTGATTGATATGGTTGGGTTTAAGTTGACAGTATTGCTATTTGATTTCTGTTTATTCCATCTGTTCTGTGTACCCTTACTTTTTTTCTTTTTTTTTTTTTTTGTTAGAGTATTTTTTATGATTCCATTTAATCTCCTTCCTTGGCTTATTAGTATTTTAAAGTTTTGCTATTTTAGAGACTGACTTAGGATTCATAGCACGCATGCCTACCTAGTATATTGTTGATGTTCAATAAATGTTTACTGAATGAACAAATGAATGCCCTGGTGCCCAGACCAAAGGGCTCCTAAGAACCAGAGGCATCAAGAAAGGCCATCAGCCCTGTGTTGTCAGACACAGCGCACTTCATTCTTTCCCAGCTTTTATTTTCCTTTTTCACACCATGTTATTATGGATATTGGCTTTATTCTTTCTGTCTTGAAGTTAGTCTTTTGAGGTTAGAGGTCTGAGTCTTCTTCTGAAGGCTTTTTTTTTAAAAGAGATATTTCAGATGGTTAGGGAATAACTTGTATCACCTTAAATCAACAATGTTTATTTGGGGGGAAGATAATGGGGTTTATTTATTTGTTTATTTATTATTCTTGTTTTAGTGGTGGTACTGGGGATTGAACCCAAGACCTCGTGCATGCTAAGCACGTACTCTACCGTACTGTCCCCCTCTGCAGGCTTTTTTGAAAGCGTGGGTTGTATCCTCAGGATGAAAGAGGCCATAGCCTTGACTTACCATGGCCAAACCCCAAAAGTAACATCCTTATCAGGAAGAACAGATATTTTATAAGGTATTAGATAGGAAAAAAAGCTTCAAAGAAATGGTCTAAATTTAAGATTAGCTGATCTCAGCAAAGCTACACATGGAAAGGAAATTCAGACCTAACAGATTTTCTCCATCCTTGGAATGTCACCAGTTTTATTTCAAGGCTCTTAAATATTTTTTTAAAAAAAAGGAAGAAAGAAAGAAAGATCATTGAGCTTCCTGATTAGAAAATAAAAATTTATGCCTTGTTTTTCTTTTTTTCTTTTCCAGCAAGTGACTGGCAGAAGTTTTGGTGATAAAGATTTTCGGACAGGGTTAGAAAATGGAATCCTTCTCTGCGAGTAAGTATAGCCTATATTCAGTTGGTTTTATTTAAGACAAATCATGAATGGTGTTGTTTGTCTATAAAACTTCCAGTATTTGGTTTGAATTTATTCACAGTTAGAATATGAAATTTAAAAAAAATCACTGGGTTAAGCAGTAAATGTAAGTAGTCTTGGTATCAGTAGGGAGTGGTGGGGACTGTGGCAATTTCAAGCTGGGTAAAGGAGTGTCTGGCAGCTGCTACTCAACACCAACCAACGTTTACAATGTAGGAATTTAGGCCCAAGTAATTGGAAGGATGTGGACCAAACTGTGGTAAAAGTAGCAGCTTTATCCCCCTTATTTCTTCCAAACAAAAGCAGCTTGTGCCCATTGAAAGCAGGACTTCTGTTTACTTACAACATCGTGAAACATGCCAGGTAGTGTTCCTCACTGAGGCCTTTTGAATATATTTAATCTGTGCTGTTGACAAAATAACTGCAGTTTTTAGTGTTTACATTTTGAACCTGGGCTTTGTCAGAGAATGCTGCTGTGGGGATGCATTCAACAGCTTTCTGTGAAGCGGTTCGAGACACAAGATAAGCTAGAGCCTCAATACTTGTAGACGGATGGACACAACCTTCCACTCAAGGTTTTGAATTTTGAATTCATTTAATAGGTTCTGTAATTTGGGTACTGATTTTTTTTTATTGAGTTGAAATATACATGCAAGAAATGCACAGCCCCTAAATATACAATCCGATGGGTTTTAGAAACTGTGTACATGCGTGTAACCTACCCCTTGATCAAGACAGAGAACAGAAACTTCCCTCATGTCCTTTCCCAGTCAGTCTCAACGAGCCCCCTGTGGAAAAGCACTGTTCTGATTTCTGTCACCATAGACTCTGTTTTGCCTTTTCTTGAATTTTATGTAAATGGAATCACATAGAATGCAGTCTTATTTTGGCAACTTGCAGAGTACTATTTGAGACCCACTCATGAAGCTGAAGGAGCAGGGGTTTCGGAGCCTGAGAATTAGAGACTCAGTCTTTTCTTCACCCCTTAAGTCATGTAACCTCCTCGATTCTCATTTGTTTCTCTTTAAAATGATGATTAAAAATTTATAACTCTTGCCTATTTTATAAGCTTTTTGTGAATTTCAACAGGATGATGTTGATCAGGTGCTTTTAAAAATTGCAACATTTGCTTAACCAATGTTGATTATTAAGCAGCAGCTTTCCGCACAGTTCACGTTAGCATTTGTTTTCCCTGCTCTCCGCTGTCCTTCTCTCTTCAAAGAGAAATTTACATCCCGGACTGCTGTTACCATCCCTTCCTTCCTATGGAGTCTCTGCCTTCTTCTCATACTTTACTTCCCTCACCACCTCCTTTCCCTCTATTAAATCTAAATCAGAGCTCATCTCTTAGGGAACCCATAATTAGTTTAGCATCTCACAGAGACAAGCTTGGACAGGCTCCAAACACTTCCCAGGTACTCCAGCACCTGCTTCTCCAGTGATTCTGGGCTTAGCCCTCTCCCGATATTAACAGACCAGCCAGAATCTGATCTAATTTATGTGCATCATGCTCTCTTAAATCTGTCAATGTGAGTCTTTGGTACCAATTTTTGTTTACCTAACATTTGCTATAAAGATTATTGTAAGCGTCCACCTCTCCACCACGTGAAAAACCTGGCAATGAGTAATAGACTTTGGATTGAGTGACCTTGTCTGAAGGCAAGGATCTGGGTCCAGAGACATCTGCACACATAGACCTTGTTTCTTACCTAGATGATGTTGAGTTGGTGGATGGAGCCTCTCATGTGTGGAGTGGCATTACCCATTGACCTTTTGCAAACACATTAATGAATGTTAGGGTTGTTTAGAGGTGGAGATGTGAGGTTGAGGTCCAGGCCGTGGTTAGGAAATAGTATGGTTAGACAATGTGGAGACACAGATTACAGCCAGGAGCCTCTTTAAATAAATAAAGGGTTTGAACTGCTGACAGCCTGAGGGTGAAGCTGAGGGAAATGGCCAAAAACAGAAGATGTGGACAAATGTTACTGTCTGGCTAGGAGGACAAAACGCAGGACAAGTGAGTTACTGTGTAACTCCTCTAACCACGGAGGATGAGACCCACTGGTGTATTTGAAGGAGTCTGAGGACGAGGGTCAAGTCCTGACTTCCCCATGGGACTCCATCTGGCAGCCCTGGCACAGAGTCTGCAAAGGTGGAATGAACTGTGTCTATGGCCTGGGCGAGGAAAGCCAGGGGTGCGCACCCCAGCCACAGCCTTGGAGAGAAAACTGGGTCAGCAGCCAGAGAAGCAAGATGCAAACCAAGTTCTAAGTGCAGGGAGGGCGCACAGAGCAACCAGGGGCAAAACATGGCCCAGCAGCCGACTTCACTGACCTTGGGAACAACAGAGGCAGAAGACCCCCCTCTTCTTACTGGTCGGGGGCAGGGGCACGGCTAGGTCTGACCTGAGCTAAAGCGTGTCGGGCTGCCGCAGACTGGAGTTAGCAAGTGTCCTGGTATCCGGAGAGCAGACTGGCGAGGAGGGAACTTGCTCTGTTCCAGGCATGGGGTTGGTTGATGGCAGGGCCCAAAAGGCCAGAAACTCCATTTGGAAAGTCTCAGGAAAGTGAGGGTTCTCAGAAGATATATCCATACGGGTTTCAAACACCTGTCTTTGGAGACTAGCTAAGAATGCCTAAGGCTGTGCCAGCCTCTAGAACCAGAGTTTTGTGGATGCTGGGGATTAAGAAGTTCTAACTCGCAACCACCACCCATGTAGCAACATTTAAAAATAAAAGAACTCTCTGTAATTTCAAATTGTGAAAACTGGCAGTTCAGCTCTTCTGAGTTGGATTGGGTCTAAGTGTTGGTTGCAGCTATGGAGAGACACCATGCTCTTTGTTATGTTCGCTAAAAATTTCCCAAGTCCTTTATGAGTCTGAAAAAAAAGCCCTCATAGCTCTCCTCAAAGAGACGGGCATCTTCTGGGCCCAGGGTCTGGCTTTCCTCTTACCAGCCTGGTCCTGAACTTACCTGTGGCCTGTAAGGTCTCCTATGATACCCATTTTACCGAGGAAGCAACTGAGGCACAGAGGATGAAGTAACTAGGCTACGGTTATACCAGATAAGAAAGATTTAAATTCAGCAGTCTGATTCTTTTGCTTTTGCTCTTCATCACTGCCCTGTGTTTAGAGCTGGAATTTTAATGGGAGAGGAAAGCAAGAGGTTGGGAGGTGGTGGTGGGATGGAATTGGTGCTAAAAAACCTGGAGTGTGGGGAGAATGGCAGTACAGAGGGTAACCACAGGGTCTCAGCGGGACAGAGGAAGACTGCGTGGGGTTGGTGGTCTTTGAAAAATGTAAGCATCAGGGGCCTGGTGGTCCCTCTTAAGACAGGAAGGCAAGTCCAGTGGGAGTGAGGACATGAGAGAGCTAAGGGGACAGGAGGCTGTGGTCAGTGGAGGATGTAGGGGTTTTAATTTTCTTAGGTAAGAGCCGTCAAAACTTGATGGAGACAAATGAGATTGGTGGACCTCTACTACAGACTACAGAGATGAGAGAGAGAGAAGACTGGCACCCACAGGTAGCATGTAAGATGGGAATTGAATGGCCTCAGAATCACCCTGGGAGCTCTTTCACTTCGCCGGCGAAATGCAGTACACGTGCCTTGGCGAACGCATATACAGTAATACTAATGCATAAATGTATAACTTACAGTAATGGCAAGAATAAAATTGAGTGCATGTGTCAAATAGAATTCTAGTAGATGTGTTTTTATTTAAGCATCTCCCTCTTCCCCTGTTGTTTTTGCCGTGTGTGCAGTTGACGTTTTGGAGGTTAAATGCTCAAATGATGGGAGCACTCTGCTGAGCATTAAATGAAAGGTCTAGGGTCGAAGTGTGACAAAGCTGCAAACGGGTGACAGGTGTCATGCTGTTAGAAATGGTAAATGACTGCTGCATCCTGTCCTTGGGGACTTCAGAGTTTAAAAGAAGGGCTGCAGAGAGTCTTCCGTTCCCTAAGGCAGTCGCTCCCAGGATGGAGTCGCTGGTGACTGCCGTCTGCTTCCCTGCCCCCAGGTCAGGCAGTCTGTAGTGAGACAATTCCAGAAAGGAACGTTTCTGACTTGTTTTCCTGACTGATTTTATCATATGAGTAGCACTCTATGGAACTCCATCTGTATCAGAAGTTGGCAAATTCTAGCCGTTGGCCTGTTTTTGTGCAGGCCTTCCTGCTTGCTAAGACTTGTTTTTACATTTTAAAAGAGTTGTAAACAAAGCAAAACAACAACAACAAAAAAGAGTTTATATGGGGCTCACAGAGCCTAAAATGTTTGCTACCTGGTCCTTTATGGAGAAAATTTGCCAGCCCATGAGGACTGTGGAATCAATTTTGGATGTAAATTGTTCACCCTCATAAAGTTAAGTGGTTTGAATTGGGGCCATGCACAGTGCTATTTGGGTAAATCAAAAAAGATTTCCTCAGGAGTTTCTTTAGAAGCCCCACTACCCACCCCCCTAACTTTTTATTTTGAAACATTTTAAACTTACAGAAAAGCTGCAAGAAGAATCTAATGATTATCCATATACCCTGCCGCCATATGCAGATGGTTCAGGAAAAAAGAGGCGTAAAAGGAAAGAGCGAGCTAGTGAGACGCAGAGATAATTGTGACAGCTGCATCTAGTTGTGGGGTGTGTGCTCGCCTTTCTTCCCTGTGGTTTGGTTTCACATCCTTGCCCCACCCTTTTCTTTCCTTTTGGTTACTGTCCAAGGATATATATATTTAACACAAGCCAGTTCAAATCCTTTTATGGAGAACACAGCAGAAAGTGAATGGATCTGTGAACTCCCAGGTTGAACCCCATGACACTGTTGCATTAGTGGACCAAAAACAGATAATGGGACTTCCTATGCTCAGCCTAGTGGACGGTCCAGATCCTAGATTCACCTCCTGTGTGTCATTAGGCAAGTTGCTTCACCTCCCTGAACCCATTTCCTCATCTCTAAAAGCAGGTATAATTG